TAAACAAGTGTTAGAGGAATGAGGAAAATGGCCAACTGAAGGACTAGTATTAGAATGCAAAGATTGTAAAGAAAAGAATAATGATCTTTCAAGAGTTTCTTGTTGTGCTTGTCAAGTAATGTCCTTGGAACCTGATTTTCTTGCACAAAGGGGAGCAGTTGAAGAATTAATTGAAAATGCAGGTCATAAATGTATTTTTTTCCCCAAGTTCCATTGTGAGCTAAACTTTATTGAGAGATATTGGGGTGCTGCCAAAAGACATTTGCATGAAAATTGTGATTATTCTTGGCAAGGATCACAAAAAGCGGTGCCTGAGAGCCTTGAATCAGTACCTTTAATTACAATTAGAAGATTTTCAAGAAAGTGCTGATCTATACAGAAAAGGAATTAATGGTAAATTGGCAGAATATGCTGTCAAAAAATATAAATTCCATAGGAGAACACCAGATGGAGTAATAGAAGAATTGAACAAAATTAGAATTAATTGATTGTATTCTTTATTATGAGTAAAATTAGCTTTTACACTGTTAAAAACCCATGTGATGATATTTTTTTAATTTTTTTGACCAAATAAGGTTAAGATATACATTCAAAACTTCGGACTGATCGGCATTTTTTGATGAGTATAGGTTATACGCACCATAGGACATCTCACATCCCAATCCCATATGTCAGCGCCATAATAATAATAAATAAATAATAATTTACTGTGGTTATAATTTTTTCTTATTGTGATAAATATTCTCCTAAGATTTCTTTTGCTACCTCTTCTCAAAAACTCTCCTGGTAAAAAATATCTATAATAAGTATTCATTGTGCAATTTAATCATTTATAAATATTTAATTTATTCGAATTAATTCGTTCTATTCGTTTTGTTCGTTTTGTTGGTTCTGTTGGTTCTGTTTGTTTTTATTCGAATTAATTCGTTTTATTCGTAATTATTCGAATTATTCGTTTATCCTTTTTATGCGAATAGAAGCTTGTTGCCATGAAATAATTGTTTATTTATGTGATACTGTGATTGCATTAAACACTTGCTTTAGTTTAAAAGTTTATAATATAGAACGTGATGATCATTCTAAAAAGGGAATATAATATATAATAAATCTACAGTGAACCCTCCAAGTCGCGCGTTTAAAAACAATACCTAGTACTTCTTGTTTTGAATTTTATATAAAATTAAATCAATTTCGATTTTTCTTTATAATGTTACAATGCCCCCCAAATTTCAACAATGCCTTCTTTAAATTAACTGCTTTGCAAAAAAGAGACTTGTTTAGCAAACCATTTCCTACAAATATAGAATTGCCAGTAAAATTTTAAAAGATGCAATTGATGAAGATTCTTAGAAAGCTAATAAAAAGAAAAGATAAGTGCACCCCCTTGGGAATGGATGAGAGCGTCCATTTATGGAGGGATGTATTTATGCTGCACCATATGCGGACGATTTCCTGTGCTCGGAGGGATACGGCGAGGGATAAATATAAATCCACGGATATATCTCTGAGTGTAACCTTTCGGAAATTGTCCGCATGGGCTGTTATAGAGGGAAATAATTTTATTGGTTGTAGATGCAATTGATGAAGATTCTTAGAAAGCTAATAAAAAGAAAAGATAAGTGCACCCCCTTGGGAATGGATGAGAGCGTCCATTTATGGAGGGATGTATTTATGCTGCACCATATGCGGACGATTTCCTGTGCTCGGAGGGATACGGCGAGGGATAAATATAAATCCACGGATATATCTCTGAGTGTAACCTTTCGGAAATTGTCCGCATAATTGTTTATTTATGTGATACTGTGATTGCATTAAACACTTGCTTTAGTTTAAAAGTTTATAATATAGAACGTGATGATCATTCTAAAAAGGGAATATAATATATAATAAATCTACAGTGAACCCTCCAAGTCGCGCGTTTAAAAACAATACCTAGTACTTCTTGTTTTGAATTTTATATAAAATTAAATCAATTTCGATTTTTCTTTATAATGTTACAATGCCCCCCAAATTTCAACAATGCCTTCTTTAAATTAACTGCTTTGCAAAAAAGAGACTTGTTTAGCAAACCATTTCCTACAAATATAGAATTGCCAGTAAAATTTTAAAAGATGCAATTGATGAAGATTCTTAGAAAGCTAATAAAAAGAAAAGATAAGTGCACCCCCTTGGGAATGGATGAGAGCGTCCATTTATGGAGGGATGTATTTATGCTGCACCATATGCGGACGATTTCCTGTGCTCGGAGGGATACGGCGAGGGATAAATATAAATCCACGGATATATCTCTGAGTGTAACCTTTCGGAAATTGTCCGCATGGGCTGTTATAGAGGGAAATAATTTTATTGGTTGTACATGATACTAACAAAAATTATTGTTGTATGTACATTGTTAAATGTTTTTTATTATAGTGCAAGCCATCTCACTGAAAATGCTTATTACAATTTGACAATTACAAATTTTTGATTTTTTTCATCAAAAATTAAATACGAATTATATATTACATCCTTCATTTACAACACTAAAATAACCCCCTGACATAAATTTTTTATTCGAATGTTCACATGATCATGCGATGCCATTGTTTTCATGATACTTTACATAATTCGTTATTAATTCTAAAGAATTGGATTATCTTTAGTGTATTTTATTATTTATTTTTTCCAAGTTGATTTGATTATCCGATTTAAGTATGGCCTCTCTCTATTAATAATTATTTGGGTGATAATATAAAAAAAATTTTTAAGACATTATTCTATTATTAGCATCTAATTAATCATTGATTTTTTTTAATACATTTTTTTTTTTTTTTTTTTTGTAGAACACTAATAAAGATTGATATTTCCCTGATTTCGCCGCAAATACTAATACTTAAAAAATTTAAGTATATTTCTATATTTATTATAATGTGACCCATTTATTATTTTAACCCTTACAGATCATCAAAAATAATTTAACAATCTTCATATCGAATAGTATATACTGAAGTTTCACCGCAAATAAGTAAAAAATGTGTCTTGCATTTAAATCACAAAACAATTTCAACCTCTAATTTGGAACATGAAAGACATCAAAAATAGATGAACCTGTTTTAAATTAAAAAAAATCAATATCTTGCTAGGCCTCCTCTACTTTTTAAACAGCACACTATCTATTGATTTATTAATTGTTTCTGGATTAGTATTAAACCACTTTTCTTTCAATAAATTAAATAATTTAGTCTTATTTATAATTTTTATTTAAATCTTTTTTAAATCCTGTCAAATTTTCAATCTGGACTTTGGGCCGGACCAGGCCAGGAGAGAACTACAACCGTTATTATCTTCTTTCCGCACACCTTCTTTTGTAACATGGCGCATTATCTTCTTAATTCACCATCACCATCTTCATTATTAGCAATTTAATTGATGATAACAGAGAAATGCTGATAAAAATACAGGAGAAATTTTCTTAATAATTTAATTTTTAATTAAGTAATACGGTTTTATTAAACCAAAATAATAGCATTCATGAATCAATTCAAAGTGTTTAATGACATAATTTTATTTATCATAAAGTTTTATATATTTAATTTCATGTTAAAATTTTTTCGTCTTTATTTTTTTATTGATATGAATACTGAAATTTAAATTCTAATACAAAAACTTCTATATAATGAAAAAATAATGCCTACCTCCAAGAATAAAGTTTTTTATTTATCAAATTTGAAAATAAATCGGAAATAATTTACAATAATTTACACGTGACAAATCGGAAATAACCGGTCCAATGATTTTAACATTCATCATTAATTCTAAAATTCCATTTACAAAAGAAACTTGGAATTTTTCTTAAAAGGAAGGTCCAGATTATTTTTAAGCTGGAATAAGAGACTACATCATCAAGAGTTCCCGGAATAAGGGAAGACCTAGATAGAGAATTGTTTTAATGAATTGTACTTATATATACCACAAAGGATATTGTGGTCAATTTTTGAGTCAAACATTTCCCTGAAAATTTCGGAAAATTCATTTTTATCTAATACTAAGGTTTTTTGTAAACAACAATTTTTTTATTTATATGCGGTGAAACTTCAGTATATTAATACTAATATGATATGAAGATTGTTCTTGATGTAAATTATATTATCACATTATAGTGTTAATATTTATAATACTTTAAAAAATTTTAAGTATAAATATATTGCGGTGAAATCACCCGTGAGAAATAGCAATCCCTTAAAAAAGTAGAGTTTTCCCTGTAAATCCTATTACTATATAATAACAATATTCATCATGTCTGTGCATACTATCTAAACGAAAAAAGCCCGGTCTTTTGATAAGGTTGACTACATTATTAACATTTTAAGAGATTCATAAAAGACAATTATAATATTTATAAAATCCTGAATTCCAATTTCCCTTCAATTCATTTGTTTTTTTTTACGACTAGAAAATAAAAATCAAAAAAATAAAGTCATAATACTTTACAAATTAAAATTCCAATCAATCAAATCCATCATATATGACAATAACATACTTTAAACATAACAATGTCCACCATAACAAATAGTACAGAAAATCATGATACATCACCAATTACCCCGGGAAATTGGACCTCAGAAGATATTAAAATGATTTTAGATCCAAGGATATATTCTTATTTTTATATAAATAAAACTTATCCAGGAACAGAGGTAATTTTTTTAGAGATGAAGATTAAAGATTAAATTAGTCATAAATAAGCCAGTTTTTTATTAAGTTCTAAATTTCAAAATAAATTTGCAAGGGTAATTCCAATAAATGTTCTTTTATATCAACACCACAATTAGAAGATAATATAACAATTGCAGGCCAACCAGTAGTTTGGCATTGTCCAGCCGGGTAATTATTTAATGGCTTTTAAAATCCCGTGTAACAAAGGCTAAATACTATATTAAATATAATAAACATGACAAATTTGTTTATTATAGTAATTTTTGTTTGGGCCCAAGCGAAATTCCATTACCATGTACGGCTGGTTTTTTTTGTCCCGAAAATTCAGCACAACCAGTTTATTGTTGCAAAGGATATTATTGTAGCAAAGACACGAAATTTGTGACAATTTGTCCCGAAGGTATTTCAATTAATATTGATATTCTTTTCCAAACTCTTTAATTTCTTCGTTAAAATTCCTCCTTCCTTCCGATAAATAATATATAATATAGGTTATCAATGTGGCTTTGGTACAGTGGATCCAATACCATGTGGCATAGCTTCACGTTGTCCGCCAGGTTCAATAGCCATAAACAAATATGGCTCGCTATTATTTTTAGTTGCAACGATAATGATAGTGCTTTTGGTGCTTTATGTTCAAGAGAAAATAGAATCCTTGAAAACGAAAAAATATCAAAAATTATTAGTCGATCAAAGTTTGACACAAAAAACGAAATTGAATCCTTTATCAAAAACATTCGATATTGAATTTAAAAACCTAGGTCTAATTTTATCAAATGGCGTCGAAATTATCAGAGTAAGAAGTTTTTGGTGGTGATGGTGTCGATTTTTGAGTGTGTGAGAGAGAGAGACTGAATATCTTTATTATTTCACATAAACACACACAGGGTATTACTGGAAGTTTACAACACGGGAGAACTTGTGCAATTATGGGACCATCAGGTAAATAAATATTTATTTAGGCGCGTAAATAAAATATTCTTATTATAATTCTATTAATTGTAAATATTAGGTTCTGGCAAGACAACATTCATGGCACTTTTATCCGGCAAAACTAAAAGATCAAATGGCATTATAAAGGGTAAAAAAATAATTACTTCAAGACGATCAATCCCAGCTAGAAAACAATTAATTCATTTTTTGCATTATTTAAAAAGTGAATGGTGTAATTGAAGATTTACATAAACATCGAAAGTTGGTTGGATTTGTTCCACAAGAAGGTTTGTTTTCGCATTTTATTTGATAATTTTCACACGATGATTATTTATTTATATTTATATATATATTTTTTGTAGATGTTATGCTTCGTGAATTAACAGTTCGCGAGATTTTAATGGTGAATAACATTATTAGTTTATATTATTTATTATTATGAAAGAAGATTTATTTTTTTTTTTTTTTAATAAAAAAAGCATTCTGCGTTAATGCGTCTACCCACAAATATGAGTCGGGAAGCAAAGAAAAAAAGAGTAATTGAAGCAATTCAATTTTTAGAATTAACAAATGTTATGAATTCATGTATAGGCGATGAAGGTAGGTGAATATTATTAATCAATTATGTGTCTATATATTTATAACATTGGTTATTTTTATTGAAGAAAAACGCGGAATATCTGGGGGGCAGCGTAAACGCGTAAATATTGGAATGGAACTTGTGGCAGAACCATCTATACTATTTCTAGCAAGTATTTCAAATAATAATAATAATAATAATAATCAGAATAAGAATAACAACAGTTACTAAGTAAATTTTTTTGTGTGCTTATCAATTAATTAGGATGAGCCGACATCAGGTTTAGATTCAGTGACTTCATTTGAAGTTTGTTCACTACTAAAAAATGTTGCGCACCAACAAGGATTAACTGTGGCAGCAGTTATTCATTCACCTTCGCCACAAGCATTCAATACATTTGATGATTTTGTGCTGTTATGTAAAGGTGGTAGACTCATATATAATGGAGTACGTGAAAATGCAATCAGCTATTTTTCAAGTCTTGGCTATGTATTCCCACCAGAAATGAGGTGATTTTATATGTATAAACAAGTTATTATTTTTTTTTATTTTATAATAATAGTATTAATAATATTAATTTTTAAATAAGTCCGTCTGATTTTATGATGAAGATTGCATCTGGTCAAGTGGAACTTGAAAATAATCCAAATCTTACATTAGAAGATCTTGCAATAGCATGGGAATCATATGCAAATAACAATACTAATAATATTAGTAGAAATGATGATGATGAGACAAATACATTTATTGATAGTTGTAAGGAATCATGTCATATGAAAATAGTAATGGAACCAGAAATAAAGTTATCGTCACAGTATTCTTCCTGCTCTTCCGCCACCATTACCACCACAACTACCACAACCACCCCTACCACCCCAACCGCCTCCACCACAACCATTACCACCTCTACTACAAAAAATTCGAAATTATCACCAATCATTCAATTCATCAAAGATAAAATAATAATTCCAGTCACCCGACTACTAAAAGATATTCAACTATACATTGAGGATGTGATTTTTGAATTGATTTATTTTATAAAAAATATGTTTTTGAATGATCCAGTACGACAAACACCAAATAGTTTCTCGGTTTTTATATTATTGTTGAAACGATCTCTATTACAAATTTATAGAAACAAAACACGATTTGTGATGGATCAGATATTAAATTTTTTTGCTGGTTCATTTCTTTCAGCATCTGTCAGTAACTACAGATATATCGGTGCTCCACCACAAGAATTATGTGTGATTATGCCGATGGTACTTCGCCAATATTGTCAATCACCACTAGATACTTTACAAGTAAGAGAATGGTTAGATTATGATATTATTGTTTTTGATCTCTATATATATAAAAAATCCCAATTTATTTTTAGTATTTGTCCACGTTTATGATTTTGGGACTTACATTCTGTGGAATTTATGGTAATGTGTTAAAATAAATATTTAATTAATAATATTTTCATAGATTTTTATTTTATTTCCACATAATTGAAATCATTAGGTAGTAGTACAACATTTGGTTGCGAGAAAGTGGTTTATTGGCGCGAAATATCATCAGGAATGTCAGCAATACCGTATTTTTTTGCAAAAGCCGTAGCAGATATACCAAGATTAATAGCAGCATCACTTATGTTTTCAATATCATTTATAATGTTTTATTCAAATGAAACAAAATTTTCTGATCATTATTTAATTATTTTATTAAGTTATATTGCAGCTTGGGGTTCAGGTAAAGAAAATAGATTGGTTTTTTATTTGATCTTTAGATAATATGAGATAATATAATTCATCTGATCTGTATTGGTAGGATATTTCATATCAATCATTGTGAGCAAAGAACAAATAGGACTTGTGGGCACAGCATTTGCACTTGCATGGGGTTTGGTATTTGGAGGATCTAATCCAACTTTAACAGAAGTTGAATCTAATTCAAGTTATGCAAGCATACGTTGGTTATGGGAGGTAAATGAATTTATGAATACATTATTACGATTATGCTTTAAAAATCTGATTAAAATACTTTTGTTTTAAAAAAAAAATAGATTTCAGCACAAAGATGGGCAATTGAAGCAGCATATTTAAAAGAACTTTCGTCAAAAGCGTAAGTACATACACAATTACATAAATACATGCATTTATATAAAGTTTAAATTATTTGATCAATTAATAGATGGCATGAAATTCACGACGCACCATTAAATTTTACATATAAATTTGACGAGTATGATAAATGTTTGAGAAATATTTGTTTGATTGCATCATGTTGGTTTTTATTGGCATTTTTGGCATTAAAATTAATCAATAGAGATAAACAAAAATAATTTTATATGTAAAATAGTACTCTTTAAATTTTGTGTAGAATTCAAATCAAAAATTTAATTGATAGATTAACACATTTTTTACACTTATTAAATCACTGGTTATAATAAAAATATAAAAATCCTTTATGATCCTTGTCAAAAATTATTTATAAATGTGGTACGACTATTTCACTTGGCATTTATCAAATTGCATATTTTAAAAAAGTATCAGAATCAGAGGTTTCTTTCCAAAGAACGTTAAGGGATGATCGGTGGTTTCTACAGGAATAATGATCCCATGCATACAAGCCACTTAGCCAAAAAATTTCTTCAAGCTTTCCCAAAGTTATGGATTGGCCATCATCCAACAGTCTTAATTTAAATCCAATAAAAAATTTGTGTGCTATTCTCAAGAGGAATGTGGAGGTGATGATGCTAAAAATCTAGCAGAATTGGTAGTTTATGGGATGAAATTCCTAATTCGTTCTATGAAATCATTGAAAATAATAGCGAAAGAATTCTTATCAATAAAAGTTAACTATTTTAAGCTATTAAATGAGCCATTTTTTAGAATTGACACATTAGTTGTCACACAACGTTCATTTAGAAACTTCCAATTTTTTTTTGTAACACATTGTATTTGCGTAATATTGCACCGTGACCTGCTTCTGATATACAATCCATTGTTTTTTCACGGAATACAAGCTCATTGCTTGCAATAAGAATTTCATAATAAATATTAAAAAAATGATAATAAATGAAATAAATAATTATAATGATAATGAATTGTTTGTTATTGGATTCATTCATTCATTGTAAGATTACATCACCATAATGTCATCTAAACGTATATACTGCATATGTAGATACTTTTTCCTCATTTGAATAATTTATTTATATGACACGACATGTGATGTTCGACCGAAGAAAATTTGCATCTTTAAATGGTGAATTCTTGTAAGATCGATCATCTTTCTGGGGTTTTATGATATTCATATGACTGTAATTTTGACGGAAATCACACATCAAAAATCGACCAATACTAATTATATGTATTATGACAGTTTTAGTTAAAAGCAAAAATATAAAAATATAAATAAATACTCGACATTTTTTAAATTTTTTTTTTTAATTTTTAGAATATGTCTCGAGACTTAACAATTGAATTACAATCTATTCGTGATGGTAAAGCTTCTATCGAACATCAATTAGACATTCACGGTAAACCATCCATCATTAAATATTATCATAAAAATTACTATTGTTTGATCTACAATATAATTAACACTTTTATCATCCACGTGTGTAGTAAATGATCTCTTTGGAGTTCAAGATAATTTACAATTATCATTAGAAGATGTATTGGAAGGATTAAAATATGTTATGAACTATCGTATAAAGGGTGGCAGACTTCCTAATTTAGATTATGAAATAATGAAACGCTTATGTGAAGGTCTATTATTTAACATGCGAAAGTCTGAAGGTGGCTTACTAAAACGTAAATTAACATACGAAGCAAACCAAGCATTCATTCTTTTTGGTGAATTTCTTGAAGAAGGTATTAATTAATATCAGTCATTAATATATTATTGATATCATTATTGTTATTATAAAAGATTTAATTATAAAGATTTAAATATTTTCAAAATAAAAATAAAGTTGAAGAATTTCGTCAAACAGTTGGTGAAAAAAATATATCAGATCTTTACAATTCACTTAAATTTCATAAACGTTGTCGAAAAGATGCTGATCCCGATGTTAAACAAGCTGCTGTTGCTATCATTTATATGTTGACTACTTGGTTTTCACAATTTTCAGATTGGCATGAATTGGTAAAAGAAGATGATCAGGATGATGTTGAAAAAGTTATAAAAGAATTTACCGATTCAATAAAAAAACCTTCAATGCCCCCTCTTCAAAGTGCTGCTTTACCTCCTCCATGTAAGTATCACATTTATTATGATTTATGATAATTCATTATTACTATTATTTTTATTAACCAACAAAAATTTTTTTTATAGCATTGTATTTTGATCGTGATGTTACAAGACTATTAAAAATGTTTCGTATTTCATTAAACGATGGTCTTTCATCAACTTCTATTCCTTCGCTATTGGAACATTATGGCCATAACCAATTACCAGAACCACCAAAACCATCAATACTAATGATGATAATAAATCAACTCAAAGATTTCATTGTTGTAATGTTGTTGGTTTTTTCTGTTGTAACTGGGGCAAAACAAGATTTCAAGGGAATGGGTGTCTTGTTATTTGTTGTTGTTCTAAACACTTTAATTGGGTTCATACAAGAATTCAAAGCTAATAAGGCTTTAGAAGCTTTACAAAAATTAACTGTCCCAAAGGTTTGTGGTTTAATTAATATATTTTTTTAATCATAAATCTCAGCTCACTCACTCTCAATTATTTAGGCAAGAGTGATTAGAGATGGTGAACAATCAATTATAGATTCTAATCAATTGGTACCTGGTGACATTGTAATATTGGAAGAAGGTGATTCAGTTCCTGCTGATTTACGTATTGTTGAAAGCTCTAATTTAGAATTAATTGAATCAATTTTAACTGGTGAAAGTGTTCCTACCTCTAAAAATATTAAGAAAATTATGACTAAAGTATGTTATTATATATTATTTTTTGGGGATTATATTTTTTTTAATTGTATCATTATCAAGTAACCTTTATTATAATTTTTTTGATATTTCATTGTAATATATAGACAAGAAATCTTCCATTAGGCGATTGTAAAGGAAATGCATTTATGTCAACAATTGTTGCAAAAGGTCGTGGAAAAGGTCTTGTAGTTAGAACTGGAGATGAAACTGAAGTAAATTAAACAATTAATTAACTAATTAATAAATAAACATTATACTCACACACTCACACACACATTATGTTTGTAATTAACAGATTGGAAAAATTAGTGCAGCAATAACTTCTGTTCCTAGAATGAGAACTCCAATTCAAAAAAAATTATCTAAACTTGGAATATGGCTAGTAATTCTTGCTATATTATTATGTGTTCTTGTTGTTGTTATTGGAATTGCATATAAACATGATGTGAATGGTATGGTCTCAATTGGTATAAGGTAAATAATGCATATAGGAGAGAAAGTGTGTGCACGTATTTAAATTTTTTTAATAGAAAAAATATATTCATAGTATAATTAAATTTTAATATATATATTACAGTTTAGCAGTTTCTGTTGTTCCTGAAGGCTTAGTTGCTGTTACAACAGTTACAATGGCCATAGGTGTTATACGTATGGCTGCTAGATGCGCAATTGTGAGAACATTACCTGCTGTTGAGACACTGGGTAGTGTTACTGTTATTTGTTCCGATAAAACCGGTACTTTAACTGAAGGAAAAATGGGACCATGTGAATTATGGACTGCTGATAATTCCATTTATTCATTCACCGAACCAACATCACTAGATCCGAACAAAGGTGGAATTATATTTCATTCATTGGAGTGTCGTAATCAACAACAACAACAGAAACAAAACGCTCTAAAAAATTCATCATTGCAAAATTCAAGCTCTATAGATAATAGCAATAATAATAATGATCATGATCATGAAAATGAAAAAAAAAATGTTGATAGTATATTATTTAAACCACAAGAATTGTCTCGCAATCCTCAAGACTCCTCCACTCACTTATTTTCTGCTCTTATGATTTCATCTCTTTGTAATAATTCATCTATTATAGAAGATGATGATGATGATGAAAATAATAAAAATAAAAA